ATGAGGATTTTTGAACATCTCGGGAACTCCAATGAAGATTGAATCCTAATATGAAGGAGGTAGTTTTAAAGGAAGTTGTGAAGTTGCTAGATACGGGAATAATCTATCCTATCTCAGATAGCAAGTGGGTAAGTCCTATTCAGGTAGTACCTAAAAAGACAGGTATTATAGTAGTTGAGAATTTTAAGGGAGAATTAGTGCCACAGCGCATCACCACTGGATGGCGTGTGTGTATTGATTACTGAAACTTAACTCCGATATTAGAAAGATCATTTTCCACTTCCATTCATTGATCAGATTCTAGAGCGATTAGCTAGCCAGAGCTATTATTACTTTTTAGACGGATATCCTGGCTATAATTACGTGGCCATTGATCCTAAGGATCAAGAAAAAACTAATTTCACTTGTCTATTCGGTACGTTTGCATATAGACGAATGCCTTTCGGATTGTGTAATACGCCAGCAACATTCCAGAGGTGTATGATGTCTATCTTTTCAAACATGGTTGAAAAGTTTCTCAAAGTCTTTATAGATGACTTATCTGTTTTCGGGTCCACATTCGAAGACTGTCTTCAAAATCTTTCCCTAGTGCTTTAGCGTTGTAGGGAAACCAATCTTATTCTTAGTTGGGAGAAGAGCCATTTTATGGTTGAAGGGGGTATTGTTTTAGGACATATCATTTCAGAGAGAGGTATTAAAGTTGATAGAGCTAAAGTAGATTTGATCTCCATATTGCCTCCTCTTACCTCCGTAAGGGAAGTGAGATCATTTCTTAGACATGACAGGTTCTATCGACGCTTCATTAAAGATTTTAGCAAAATTTCCCATCCTTTATGTAATCTACTAGCAAAGGACACTCCTTTTGTCTTTAATGAGTCATGCCTTGAAGCTTTCTAAAAGCTTCGCTTTCTTCTTTCTTCAGCTCCTATCATGAATCCTCCGGATTGGGCTCTTCCATTTGAGATTATGTGTGACGCATCTGACTATGCTATAGGTGCTGTCTTAAGACAAAGAGTGGATAAGCTTCCTCATGTTATCTAATATGTGAGCAAAACTTTTTTAGATGCGCAATTGAATTATACCACTACTGAAAAAGAGTTACTTGCAGTTGTCTTTACTTTGGACAAATTCAGATCATATCTATTAGGTTTCAAAGTCATAGTTTATTCTGATCATTCTGCTTTGAAACATCTTCTTTCTAAAAAGGAAACCAAACCCCATTTGATTCGATGGATCCTCTTGCTTCAAGAGTTTGATTATGAAATCCGGGATAAGAAAGGGTCAAAGAATGTTGTAGCTGACCATCTTTCTAGAATTCTGATTACAGATACCTCAACTTCACTTCCAGTTTGTGATTCCTTCCCAGATGAATAACTGTTTGAGGTTTCTCATAAGGATTTGCCTTGTTTGATGATATTGTGAATTACCTCGTAATAGGCAAAATTCCTTTATTTTGGTCAAAGCAGGAAAAAGATCTATTCTTCTCCCAAATTAGGATGTACTATTGGGAAGATCCCCAGCTATTTAAATACTGTGCTGATTACATCATCCGTAGATATGATCCTGAGAGTAAGTTTCATAGTATTCTGACCTTCTGTCACAGTTTGGCATGCAGAGGTCATTTCAGTGCAAAGAAAACTATAGCTAAAATTATTCAATGTGGTTTCTTTTGGCCTTCACTCTTTCAAGATTCATATTTATTCTGTAGGTCATGCCTTAGATATTAGCAATTATGATCAATTTTAGAAGGAACATGATGCCCTTGACTCCAATCTTAGTTATTGAGGTTTTTGATGTTTGGGGTATTGGTTTCATGGGTCCTTTTGTTCTGTCTAATAAAAATGAGTACATTCTTGTGGCTGTTGACTATGTTTCTAAATGGGTTGAAGTAGTGGGTATTAAAACCGCCGATCACCCAGTTATGGTTGAGTTCATTCAAATGAACATTTTTAGTCAGTTTGGTATGCCACGAGCTATTATTAGTGATCATGGTACTCACTTCTGTAATAGGTACTTCCGTACCTTGGCCCAAAGATATTCCATCACTCATAAAGTTGCTTCTGCCTATCATCCCCAAACGAGTGGCCAAGTAGAAATATCCAATCTTGAAATCAAGAGAATTCTTGAGATAACGGTTAAGCCAGATCGTAAATATTGGTCTTTTAGACTGAACGATGCTTTGTAGGCTTATCGAACAGCATATAAGACTCGGATTTGTATGTCATCTTACCGTCTTGTCTATAGTAAAGGGTGCCATCTTCCTGTAGAGTTAGAGCAGAGAGCTTTCTCGCCATAAAAAAGCTCAACTTCGATATGACATCTGCTGGTTCTAACAGGAAGCTTCAATTAACTGAGCTTAAAGAATTACGTAATAATGCTTATGAAAGTGCTGAGGTTTACAAAGTAAAGACTATGGCATTTCATGATAAGCATATCTTCTATAAGATGTTTGAGCCTGAGAAGAAGGTTTGGTTGTTTAATACACGACTAAAACTTTTTCCTAGTAAGTTAAAGTCACACTGGGAAGGTCCATACATGATTATTTCTGTTACACCTTATGGTGCAATAGAGATATAAGATTGCAAAACTGGACAACTGTCCAAGGTCAATGGATAGAGACTTAAACCCTACATAGAGGGTAGTGTGCAGAGGCACAGTTGAGGCAGTAGAACTTCATGATCTTATTTACTTAGACGAGAGAGGTCAAATTTTCGTCAAGCTATTGACGTTAAACTTAGCATTTATATGTTGTACCGTAGTTTTATTGCATCTTTATTTTCATTTGTGATTTAATTTTTTTTTTTTTTAGGTTTTAGTAATTTTTAGGCTTATTTTATTTTATTTAAAGTCTAGTTTTAGGTTGAAAAAGGAAAAGAAAATAAAAATTGAAAACATCCACAAATCCAAAAAAAATTTGTCACAATGCTCGAGCCTGAAAGTTGGGGCTCGAGCATCAGCTACTACAGGCTTGAGCATCAGTACCTCAAGCTCAAGCCTTTCATCATCATTAACTATAGGGTTTTGCAGTGGCCGTGCTCGAGCCTTACACTTGAGGCTCGAGCCTCTGTACTTTAAAATATTAAAAAAAAAACCCTCAAGCCACAGATGAAACCCTCGTGCCTTTGGTCTTCTTGCCTCCAATCTCTCCCAAAATCTCTTAAATTTCATCCCTTTCTTCATCTTCGTCATCTTAGGCTTCGATTCTACATCAAAAAGGTATGAATCTCTCCATCCTTCTCGGTTTTCATATAGATGTATATATATGTATATATTTTCTATATATACACTGATTTCATGCCCAAATCTCGAGAAGAATATGAAACTGAAATTGGTACCATTGGAAAGCTTAATTTGACACGGTCAATTTAGACTCAAGAACGGACCAATTTGGAGTTAAAATAAAAGAGTTACGTTAGTTCAAAGTTGGAAGACTAAGGCTGAACCTACAACACAAAATTGGAAGACTTGAACTGGTTCAGCCCCCTTGAACTGGTTCAACATGGGCAGTACACCTATACTGGACCAAAAACTGACTCTTGAACCCGTTCAACCTTCTTGAACCGGTTCAACTTGGGTAGAAATAGTAATTTCAGCAGAAACAGTAGAAAATGTAGGAAAATGAGTTTAGAATGCGATTTTCGAGATCAAGATGACATTTTTTGAAAAAATGTCGTGAAGAAAATCCCCCTAAAATCACTTTTTCTATGCGATAGAGTTGAGAACGGAATTTATTTTCCAAAGGAAATCCCCAAAATGCCCATAAACAATATTTTTCAAAAAAGTGTGAAACGAGTCCACCGGAGGCTCGTTTCACAAAGGAAGAGGTTTTTTTTTTATAAAAATGATCATGCATACAGACGTAAATGGTGATTTTGAGCGTGCGGGAATGGTCTGCAGCTCCCGAAAATGGCCGAGTCAAAATCTGACCCCCCAACGGCCGAAAAGGCAAAAATGAACTTGAAATGAAAAATGTGAAAACCAAAATTTATGAAATGGTTTTAAATGACCATTTCGCCCTTGGCCATACTTCATGCATATAAAATAGATCCTAGTGGATGTGCCAGAACACACTCTATGGCATTACTCTCTAATGTGAAGCCTTCAGGTTGTTTCATATAGACTTCCTTTTTCTAAACTCTCATTCATAAAAGTTGTATTCACATCCATTTGATGTAACTCTAAATCATAATAAGCTACTAATGCCATGATATTTTAAGAGAATCCTTCTTAGATACTGTAGAGAAGGTTTCTTTATAATCTCTTCATTCATGACATAAATCCATTTAGTAAAATTATTACTGTTAATGGCTTGTGAATATGTAGTCGGATCCTTATATATATCCTAATATTAAAATCAGATTCTTGTAATTATACCACATAGTCATCCGAAATAGCAAATCTTATTTCTCTTTTATAACGTCTTAATGTTATTCCTTGTAGTTCTTCTCCAATCTATTCATTGGTGATAATCTCATCATGGAGTTGTTAGTCGTTCAATTATTCTTTGTTGTTATATGGTTCAACAACTATAGGAATAATTATTTCCTTAGAAGTTATGGGTAAAGAAATTTATACCCTAAGTTCTTGAATAATCACATTCTTATTTTTATCACTCCTACTGACTTCACAATTCTCAATGAATCTGACATTTACGGTCTCAATAATTCTAGTACTATGTGACAACCTATCAAGTATAAGTATAAACCATCAAATTAATTGACAAACCCATTCAATGAAAACCCATGCTTAGCCATCACTAAATCATTAATTAATCACACATAGATATGCAACCAATATAGAGAATCTAGTGTAGAGATTAATTCTCAAATAATCACATATAAGACAACATGTAATCAAATAGAGAATCAATAGAAAGAATTAATCCATATGAATCATGTAAGAAATAATTGCCAATTTAATCACACATAGACATGTAAATAAACTAGAGAATTAATAGGAAGAATTAAACCATAGAAATCATAGAAATATACCAAGATTCATTAAATTCACAAGGCTAGAACACTAATCACAACAATATATATAAATCCCCAAAAATAGAAATACAAGGGTTTAGATTACACAAGACTTAGGGCTCATCCAAGCCCTAAGTATAGATCTAGCCAATCATGGAGGAGGTGGATGTGGTCATGGAATCAAGCTCCAAACATGGCTCCATCTTCTTCTTCCTATTCTTCTTCTTTTTCTTTGAAGCTCTAGAGATGGAGAGAGAGTGGGTCTAGAGATGGGTCTTGAGATGTGCCTCCACTTCCCTCTTTTCTTCTAACCCTAATCTCTAACTTTGCTAGAGAGAGAAATAAAAAATACAATGTAAAAAATAAAAAGATAAAAAGCTCCTTTACAAATGGGTCACTTCCCTTTATATAGAAGGTTTTTTTCTTAGTCATTAAGTTAGGAATATAGGCCAAAAAATATCTAATCCCGTTCTATGTGATAGGTGAACTTTTGGGCGCGCACGGAATAAGACAGCTTGCTGCCAGTAAAAGTTCGATCGATCCAACTTTGATTTTCGATCGATCTAACTTTTTCAAAAAGTTGGATTGATCCAAATTTGATTTCCGATGGATCCAACTTTTCTCAGAAAGTTGGATGGATCCAACTTGGTAGATTTTCAGCATCAGCCTCTTTTTGCTCCAAAATCGTCCTCTTTTTGCTTCAGATCATCACTAAGACTTAGTTTGACTCCAAAAAGGCCTTAAGAAACCATTTTTAGCCCATTTTAACATTCTTAACCTGAAATAGACAAAAACACAAATAAGTACTAAAACGGAAAAATAAGATAGATAAAGGTCCTAGAACACTCAAGCTTAAGGGGTTTAAAAGTGTACTTTTTAGCGCTCATCACACCCCCAAACTTAAATATTGCTAGTCCCTAGCAATGAACTACGAAGTAAAGAAATGAAATGAACAAGTAAACACCTGTAACTGGAAAGCAATAAATGTATAATGCCACTTTTGTAGGGAACACGATTGTATTTAGCATATGCAACAAGCCTTTTAAACCCCTAGGTTACCCCTAGTGGACGAGTGAAGTCTCGTGAGGGTTTCCAGAAATGATACCCACAAACATTAAGCTCATTCTTTCTAAAGAGGCACCAATATTACAAACAAGCATCGGGAGAAAACTACCTCAAGTATGTAATTTTTCAAACATTTCTAAACAATCTCCCAAAATCTCAATATCAAGCAAGCAAATATGGTCCTCCACACATCAAGAAAATGATCATGCAAATCAAAACAACTCTAGAATCCTTTTTGAGTGGACCGGCATGAAATATGTTGCTATCTTAGCCAACTAAAGAAATGATCACATCCTTACCCTCAAACTAGCACACAAATCTAGTACCGATCATCAAGACAAAAAGTGGACCTTTTATTAAAGCTTTATTGTTCTAGGTGCGCTTATTCTTTTCACTAGAAATTTATTTATTTATTTTTTTTTATTATTATTTTTTTTAATAGGATCAAAGATGGAAGTATGGTGCAATGTGTTGATCTATTAAGCTTTCTAGCGATCCATGAGGTCGAGCGTTAGGTCAATGACTCCCAAACCAGATGGCTTTAGGGCATTAGGTGTCCAAACACCCCTACGGACTTAGAAGCTCAAATTAACTTGGCTACAAATTGAGACAACCTCTATCTAATCATTTCCCACTTCTCACCTTTTGAGAGAAGTCCTCACTTTTTTATTACTTTTGCAACTTTTCTTCTTCTTCTTCTTTTTTTTTTTTTTTTTTTTTTTTTTTTTTTTTTTTTTTTTTTTTTTTTCAAGTTCAGTTATTAACCTAGAGTTCAGGCCCTCCACCTTTCGGCGTAAGAAGTTAAATGCTTGATAAGGCTAGAATCCTGACTACTTAGTGAAAATGGGTTGTTATCCACCTTTATCAAGAATGAAAGATTTCAATGCACTACTAGCTCAATTGGGATATAACCAATTCAATAATCAATAAAGCATGTACCCCACAAATGAATGCTAGTGTGCGCCTGTGCTAATGTAGAATCTTAGAATGAATCTCAAAACAATCACAAAATCAAGATGATGTGGATCACAAGTGTAAGCAAGATATCAATTTTTTGAAAAATTTACTCATAAATGGCATCCACAAGGCATACAAGGAGTATTGGACTCTCAAGTCTAGTAATTTTTAAATTCTAAGCAATATAGTCCTCAAAAGATCAAAATCATCACTAATCATAGATCTTCAATCTCAATCATGCATTTAAAGTTCAACTTTGACTAGAATGCAACAAAGTCATTTTACCCCCAAACTTAAACCACACATTGTCCTCAATGTGCAATGAGAACAATGAAAAAGATGGAAAGAGTATACCGTGGTAGCAAAGACATGAAGCCTGGTCATGATCCAATTCGAAAAACGTCTCGCCCAAACTCGGAATCAACAACCTACTTGAATAACCACACTAGCAAACTCACATCAAATATCAAATGGGATAAGATAAGCAAATCGAGCATTCCAAGACAATATAGCACAAGATGAAAAAGAGATATGAGATCAAGTCTTAACTAAAGCATAAAGTATGCATGAATATACATAAGGGCACAATGATGAATTTTTTATATTTTTTTTCATTTAATGAAAACAAGTATATACAAAATACAAGAAAAACAAAGAATAAAATGCATGAACAAAATTCAAAAAGAAAAATAAAGAAGGTAAAATATAATGAAAGAATTTATACAATGCAAGAACTGAAAACTAAAAAGTAAAAAAGGATGCAAGAACAAAATAATGAAAATTGAAAATAAATACCTTTATTTTATTTTATTTTATTTTATTAGAATTAAGTACAAAGAAAAACGAAAAATGCAAGAACTATGCAAAATGGGTGCTAAGTTTAACGTCTCTAGCAAGACAGAATGCTTCTTTGATAACCATCTCTTTTATTTATTATTTTTCTTTTATTTAGACAAAACAAATATATACACAAACAAAAATAAGAAGGCAAGTAAATAACAATGCAAGAAGTAAAAATGCAAAGAAATAAATAATGCAAAGAAAGATATATATTTTTTTTAATTAAAAATTAAAAATTAAAAATTAAAGTAAACAAAATATTTTTGGAAATAAGATAAAAGGAAAATAAAATAAAAGAAAAATGTTTTTGGGATTTTTTTTTATTTGAAATAAAAATAAATCTTGGAAATAAAAGTAAAAATGAAAATAAAAATCTTTTTGGAGTTTTCGAAAATAAAATATTTTGAACAAAAATATTTTTGTATTTTTAACAAATTTTAAAACTTTTTTCTTTTTGGAAAAAGAAAATGAAAAAAATAAAATAAAAATAGAAAAAGGAAAAAGTCAAAAAGTCAAAGGGGCAAAGCTGTGATCGATCTATGCTCGCACGATGGGATAGAGAGTATGAAATTTGCAGTGCTTTGAAATTTTTTCTGAGTATGGAATCTCAAGATTGACTCAATAATGAAGTTAGACTGATCGAAGAACTTTAGATCGATCTAGGAATGTTTTCGATCGATCTGATAGAGAGCTGAAATATGCAGGTTGATGGAGGCTCAAAATTTTTCTTAGTGTGGGAACTCAAGATCGATTGAACTTGGAGTTTGGATCAATCGAACTTGGAGTTTGGATCGATCGAAGGTCTTCTGATCAATCTAACAAAGAACTGAGATCCTAAATTTTCCTTGGATTAATGAGACAGAGAGTGATTTGGATGCAGGTTTGCTGCAGGAATAAAGTTCGATCAATCGAACTCTCATTTGAGATCGATCGAACTTATATAAAATGCTCAATTTCAACAAGAAAGTGCATGCAATCCTTATCACAGTTCCTAGCAATGTATATGAACCCAAAGCCAATATCTAGAATTCGCAAGAAATGAAAAACAAAAAAAAATGAGGGAGGAATAGAGTTGTGAAACTCTACGAATACTAGTATTTAACGTCTCTAGCAAGACGTTGGGTCAACTCACTAATCAAACGAATCAAAAACTGGATATGAAACATCCTTATTGACCCTCTTTTGCATTTTCTCATTTGATGCCTCACTTATGACAATGAAATCATCCTCCAAAAGAATGACTTGAAAAGAAATGAAAGAGTTAATTTCGTTCCTTTCATCCACGGTCTTGAAAACAAAATCAATTATGGTTAGCCTTGCCTTAATTTTGTACTCTTGAAGTGTATTTAAAGAATCACTTCCTTTGTGAATTGGCAAGTCAATGTCTTTCAAAGACTCATTTGGAATATCAAGGAACACCTTCTCTTTATCCTTTTTCTCCTCCTAAAAAATCACCATCTCTTTACCTTCCAAGTTAGCTAAGGAGTCCATTAGAGAGTTCACTTCATTTTTTGAGCTTTCAAGGTTAAAACCACAATTTTTATACATTTCAAAAAGACATGTCTTAAGAGGGTCATTAGAGATAATAGAAGGAAGGCCCTCTTCAACAAATTCCTCTTCTTCCTCTCCTACCTTAATGTCATAAATAAAATCTCCTCACTCTCTAAAGTAGCAAGGTCATAGATAAAATCATAATCAAAGCAAGGAAAGTCCTCATTAATCATATTATGCTCTATTGGATTAGTTACTAACTCATTTGCCACTTCCTCCTCTATACAAGATAGAGTATTAGGCATTAGCTCACTTGTCTCATCCTCTTCACTCTCATCATCCTCATCTATATACATTGAAGTTCTTGTCATTTTTTCATTTGCCTCTTCCTCTTCCTCTTGACGAGAAAGAATACTTGCAATTTGCTCAACTTGAGCTTCAAGCTTGGCTAAAGTTCGAGAATGAGAATTAATAAGTGGAGTTTGTGAAATATGCATATCAAGTAAAGCTAATACTTTTTCTTCAAATCCGGGTGAGTACCAAGAAGGTGGTGGAATTGGTTCATCATAAAATGGTGGTGGAGGGCAATAGTCATAGGAAGGATTAAATGAGTGATCAAGTCCATAATAAGATGATGCATGAAATGAATTAGACTCAATCTCATAAGGATTAAAATATGATGGAGGGGCATAAGGTGAAGGGATGTAATTTCCCCCCCAAACTTGGATCAAACATTGGCTCCATCCACATTCAAAATCCAAATGCAACAAATAATAGCCTCAACAAGGGCCTATGCTTGGACAAAGATAAAGCAATATAATGAGCCTCAACAAGGGCTATCACAAGCATTCAAAGAAGTGATACAATTAAAATACAAGAGTTCCAAGAATTGCTCACAATGGTCCTTAAGCAACTTCAAATTTTAATATTAGCTTTAAGCTCCAATTATTGCTTCAAGTTCCAAAGTTTGCCTTCCTTATAGTCAAGTACCTAATTGAACAAATAATAATGAGAATAAGAGAAAAGAATATACAATGGAAAATAAAATAAAAATAGAAGCAATCAAATGAACACTATTGTTTAGTTTAATTCCAACAAAACCGTTAATCCCTGGCAACGGCGCCAAAATTTGACGAGGCCGCTTGTATACGTCAAAATTGATGTAGTGAATATGCGGTTCAAGAAAAGCCTTTTGGGTCAAGCTTAAATTTATAAAAACCACTACCAACACTACTCCTAACGTAGCAAGATTGAGTAGGGATCGTCCCAAGGGATTATACGTGTTGGAATTTAACTTTGACTCTAATGTATCACAAGATTTCAAAGAGAGAGATTGATTTGATTAAACTAAGGTGAAATGAAATTAAAATGCAAGTAAAGTAAACTAGTTAGAGATAGGGATTTAAGAGATATGAAGAGAGGTCATAAGGTGTTGGAATCACCACTAAACTCATGTAATTAACCACTTGTTTTGCATTAATGGGGAATACATTGTTGTGAATAAAATGCGACTACCAATGGCAATATTAAGCATGGACCATCTAATTCATGTATGAATTGTCTACCTAAACTAAGTGTAACACAACCCATCAATTTTAAGCATGACCCATCTAAGTAGCAACAATTGTAGCACACATCAATCTAGAGAATCATAGAATTTGCAATATTAAGCATTGACCATCTAATTTATGTATGAATTGTTTACCTAAACTAAGTGTAGCACAACCCATCAATTTTAAGCATGACCCATCTCAGTAGCAACAATTGTAGCACACATCAATCTAGAGAATCATGGAAATAGCAACAATAAGCCATGGAATATCTAAGCAAGCATAGATTGTCTACCTACCTACAAGCATGAATTAAATTGTAGAACAACCCATCAAGCATAAGTATAAACCATCAAATTAATTGACAAACCCATTCAATGAAAACCTATGCTTAGCCGTCACTAAATCCTTAATTAATCACACATAGACATGCAACTAATATAGAGAATCCACTGTAGAGCTTAATTCCCAAAATAATCACATATAAGACAACATGTAATCAAATAGAGAATCAATAGAAATAATTAATCCATATGAATCATGTAAGAAATAATTGCCAATTTAATCACACATAGACATGTAAATAAACTAAAGAATTAATAGGAAGAATTAAACCATAGAAATCATAGAAATATACCAAGATTCATTAAATTCACAAGGCTAGAATACTAATCACAACAATATATATAAATACCCAAAAATAGAAATACAAGGGTTTAGATTACACAAGACTTAGGGCTCATCCAAGCCCTAAGTATAGATCTAGCCAATTATGGAGGAGGTGGATGTGGTCATGGAATCAAGCTTCAAACATGGCTCCATCTTCTTTTTCCTCTTCTTCTTCTTCTTTTTTGAAGCTCTAGAGATGGAGAGAGAGTGGGTCTAGAGATAGGTCTTGAGATGTGCCTCCACTTCCTTCTTTTCTTCTAACCCTAATCTCTAACTTTACTAGAGAGAGAAATAAAAAATACAATGTAAAAAATAAAAAGATAAAAAACTCCTTTACAAATGGGTCACTTCTTTTTATATAGAAGATCCTTTTCTTAGTTATTAAGTCAGGAATATAGGCCCAAAAATATCTAATCCCGTACTATGTGATAGGTGGACTTTTGGGCACGCACGGAATAAGATAGCTCGCTGCCAGTAAAAGTTCGATCGATCCAACTTTGATTTTCGATCGATCCAACTTTTTCAGAAAGTTGGATTGATCTAACTTTGATTTTTGATCGATCTAAGTTTTTCAGAAAGTTGGATCGATCCAACTTTGATTTTCGATCGATCCAATTTTTCTCAGAAAGTTGGATGGATCCAACTTGAGAGTTGGATGGATCCAACTTGACAGATTTTCTGCCTCAGCCTCTTTTTGCTTCAAATCGTCCTCTTTTTGCTCCGGATCATCACTAAGACTTAGTTTGACTCCAAAAAGGCTTTAAGAAACCATTTTTAGCCCATTTTAACATTATTGACCTGAAATAGACAAAAACACAAATAAGTACTGAAACGGGAAAATAAGATATATAAAAGTCCTAGAACACTCAAGCTTAAGGGGTTTAAAAGTGTACCTTTCAGCGCTCATCACAATCAAACCAAAGTTAATCTTTGAACCTCGGTTACATAAGCGTTAGCAATCCCTGGCAACGGCACAAAAAATTGATCATTCTAGTTGAAGATCTCAATAATAATCAACCCTTTGATATATCACGAATCATTGTAAAATAGAGCTATTGTTCGGGTAAGTCGAACTACTAGGATTGCTAGTTTATGGCAACCTAGGTCATTAAAACCACTTAGTTTGATGAAGGTTATGTAGAGTTTTTGTTTGGTTTGTCACTAGGTGACTTAGAATTAAAATGTGCATAAGACAATAAATTGAATGAGATTAAAAGGAGTGAAACGTAAGTAGAGAGGACTAGGGAAGTGAATCCACTACCAACCCTATAAACATGCTAAAATATGATTAACTTGGGGAAACAACATATATAAATGGCCATGATATGTAGCAACACAAAATTGCTACATTATCTTCAAGAAAATCATGAAATTAAGAGGCAAGAATAACCTATCAAAGTTTTACATGGTTGAACTACCTAAACTAGAGTGTAGCCTTAAACATGCTCACTAAGCTAGAGATTATCAAGCCCTCAATCAAATGATGGAAGCATATGAAGTCAAGAGTCAAGATTAATCCATTAAAGGGAGACCCTAAACTATGGGCTAACAAGTTTCTCATAAATCATACCCTTAAAACCATTTCACAATCTCATTTTCAGTGTCACTATAAAAATGCAAGCCATACAACCATGAGAACATAAAATCTAAGACAAGATAATAGATTCAACATGATCATTTATATAAATTTAGGTTCATTACATCAAAATGAGTGCTCTAGATTGTAAAACTACTGCATATATACATCATTCCCCAAAATAAAATCAAAACTAGAGAATGTTTACAAGGAGGGGCTTCATCACCTCCCTAGAAAATGAGTTAGTTACCCATGGATGCAAAGGAGGAAGGAGAAGAGATGGCCACACCTTCCATTTTTGCACCTAGAGGCCAAGAACAACTCAAACCTTCTAACACTCAATATTTCTCTCTCTAGAACCCCTTACAAAATGAGATCTATTTATTACATTGAATCAAGCCCTTAATAATCAACCATAGCCATCCAATAACTCCATTTTCATGGTCCAAAACTCCTAAATAAGTGCAGAGCAATCCCTCCAATTAAGGGGATAACATTAGGTGAGATAAAGAGGGCCATACTCTCTTGTCTACAGAATAGCGGGCGCCCGCAGCGTAGGGTGGGAGCCTGCGGGTTGTCGCAGAGGCATTTGAGGCTTGGTTAGTGGCATTCGGCAGGGGCCCGCAGCTTTGGAAACATTCTGCCTCATTTGGTGGGCGCTCGCAAGGGTTTGGCGGGCTCCCACAATGTTATAGCTTTGATTCCTCACTTTGCTTCTTGAAATGAGCTCTGTTTGGCCTGATGGTGCAACCATTGTCCTTAGTGCTTTTTGCAGGGATAACCATGAGTTTAATGGGTCACAGGCTTGGCCAAAATGAAGATCCCCGGTAACGATATGCTTTGATTCTTCAAGAATTCATTAAAACCGCACTTTTAACTATCTTTGGGGAACTAACCTAAAAGTAAACAAAAAAAAATGCAAGTGAAGCTAATATATACAATATGATCAACTAATGGACTTAACTAATGCAAATAAGGGCGCTTGAATATGCAATATTCGGCGCTTATCAAAACACTTTAACACATAAGCATATAAACAATGCAATCCACCTCCAAACAACCATAGATTGGCCTCTACCCATCGTCCTACTGGTTTTTGAACCATTGCTCTAATACCAAATTTATAACGACCGGAACCCAAGGGTCCGAATCGCTAAACGAGTCCTTACCCAAATCTGAGGTCAACTAAAGGTGTTATTATCCTTTCCTATGGCAATACATAATATATGTGTCATCCCAGGGTTTATAAATAATAATAATAATAATAATAAAATGAGATCATAACTACAAAATAGGTCAAACAGTCCATTAACCCATCAAAACCTGTGGAGGAACGTCGTTCGCCACTTCCTTCCCGTGACTTGAAAAAATGTTAAAATGATGGGGTGAGCATAAAGCTCAGTAGGAAGTGTCTAAGACACATCTCTTACAACCCCATGAATCCATACAATGAATAAGATATGAGAGAACTGGATCATATCCCGGGAAAAACAAGCAAAGTAACGATAATAATCAACAAATACATACGCAAGTCGTTTAACTACCAAATATACAATATATGCCAATGCAATGCCATGCCATGCAATGTCACTCCTCATTTCCGAAACAATACCGTTTCAACTTCCAAACCATTAGTGTGATCCGACCCAAGGTACCTCCAAGGCGTCACGAAGGGAGGGTAAGCTAGCTTTCCCCGACCACATGGCACCTCCATGGCGTCGTCTGGGCCTAGGTAGCTCAACCACACTAGAGTCTCTCTCTATCTTCCCTCTAGACCACACTAACACCACTGACCACTAGGCACCTCCTAGGTGTCCAATTTTTGAAAACACTTTTCAAAAACTTTTCCCAAAACAATTTCATTTATTTTTAAAACAAACTTTTCCCTTTACTTTCCCAATGGCAATGCATGAATTATGCAATTTTTTTCAATGCCATGACAATATAAAAATGTCATACATATCATCCACATCATTTAAGCATGTTTAAAACATAAATTTTCACACAATATCGCATTCTCATATTTCCAAATCATGGCATTTTACATACTTTCAATTCGCAATTCTAACAATTAAATTCTACACATTCCATCAACGTTATATTCACATTTTGAGAAGAAATTCTAAACATTTATTTTCACAACTAATAATCCTAATTTTACATTTATTTCCACAACTATTAAACCCAATTTGACATTTATTTCCATAACTAATAATCCCAATTTTACATAGCAATTAGCAAACATTATACATACAACTTCTTTTAATTGAGCATGCTTTTCATCACAACAAATTAATTAAGTTCATAGGCTCAATTTAACACGCCACATCACTTATCATCATGCACACAACTAAATACAATCACCATATTTAAAATAACTAAAACTAAGCATGCTTATAACCAACTTTAGAAGGGAAAATTCACAAAAAATCAAAGAAATTGTGATTTAGAACACCCCTACCTCAAAATGATGAAAACCCCCAATTTGAACCCTAGATTTCGAATTTCCTAGGGTGCACCAAATGATAAATTGCTTACACCCATGCGTAGATCTCGCTGAGAGCTTTGTTTTACCGCAAACAACACCAAAAATCTCCTAACAGTTGGGGATTAATCAAAACTTGAAATTTGAGAAGAAAGAAAAAAGAAAAAGAGAAGAGAATGAGAAGGCTTACGGGAGAAGGAGAAAATAATAAGAAGTGAGGCCAAAAACATGGCCTCCTGGCCACATAAAAATAAAAAAAATTAGTGGTGGGTCCCACAACCAAAAACCTTTTTCCTTTGACTTTTCTCTTCCATTTTTTTTTTTAAATTTACTACCTCACATATATATATATATATATATATATATATATATATATATATATATATATCACAAACATTAAACACGTAGCGCTCTGAGGGTGTCCACCGAGTGCTAGGGGCGTGCACTAGGGTGCTCGTGGCATCCTCTGAGCGCTCTGAGGATGTCGATAGAGCACTCTGTATTAGAAATTAGGCATTGTTTTTTTTGAAAGTTTTCCATTGGCCCCAAGCTTCAACTTATGGGTCCTACAAGTTATTTAAGGGGCTTAGATCACTATGGACCCATCGGAATAGGAGCGAATTGGGCCGGAATGACATTTTTACCCGTTTTAGCCCTAAAACGGGTAACATCGAACCAAGTTGTTTCCTTTCATTTAAAAATGAATCTAAGTGACTAGATATGACTTAGATTGCAGTTGTAAGGTTCCCAATGCTTCGCATGATCCAAAAAAACCAATTTACCCTTGTAACCCTAAGTGGACCGATTTAAGGACGGGTTAATTCTATCATCTGTAAGTGAAACAATTTGATTATTAATGACCAATATGATGTCATTATGACCTTTAGTACACTGCATTGGTCAAAATGACCATTTTACAGTTGGCTGTACCCAGGTCGGATTAGGACTCGGTTAGTGACCGGACCCCGGGTTTGGGTTGTTACACACACTATGTCATACCAATCACAATATGTGGAATAAAATAAATATGTGTTACTTAACATGGTGGAAGAAGCCCTTCAAAAATGAATAAATATATAATAAAAATGAAAATAAATATATATATATATATATATATATATATATATATTAAAAAAGGAACCTTTTTAGTAGTAAAATCACATTCCATTTTCAATTCTTCTTCTACAACACGTGACACCACAGTCGTTGAAAAAAATACTCGAAAATAATGATATTGTACCAGACCTTCTAATGACAAGTTTTAAAGCCAAAACATATAGCCATGTTGTATCTGTAATTCACTCTTGAATTGGGCCCACTGAATATTGAAAGTCTTGCTTATTTTCCACTTTTGGGCTTCAGATCAATAGGTTGGAAAATAAAGAGATTTCAAACTATTATAATCTAGCCCAATCCAGCCCAAAGAACAATAGGTGGGCTTTGGCCTAGGATTATGTAACGATCCTAAACTGAATACCAATTATCAAAAAAATTCGGCATGACCTCTGTTTAAAAGGGACCTACAACAACTTGCTTAAATAAAAAAATAAAAAAATAAAAAAATGCAATGGCCTTTCTTGGCCCTTCAAAACTTATCCAAGCTGTAAAAAAAAACATATAATAAATTCCCAAAACAACCACATCAACAATCTCCTCAAGATGGCCTATCATCATCATCATTACATTCAACACAAAATATTTACATAGTCTCACTTCCCCTCAAAATATCGACAAGAGTTATAGTTTACAATACATGACCATGGCTTGCAAAATGCATACACTTCACTATGGTTTTGAGACTTTACAAAAGTGTAGCAAATATACAAAAGATAGCAAATATGCCACACCATGATATGTAATGTCATGTATGTCGCTCCCCATTTTCAAAACTCAAATCCATCGCTTTTCAAACTGTTAATAAAACCCGTCCTTTGGTGACTCTACAGCGACACGAGAGAAGGATTGGCTACTATCCCAGACCCTTGGTACCCCCACGGTGTCATTTAAGACCCAAATAGCTCAACCATGCTAGGGTGTTTCCCTAGTTCCCTCTTGGTTACATTAACACCACGGCCCTTTGGTGACTCCGAGGTGACCGGGTTTTTATAAAAATCACATTAATCAAAACTTTGTCCCAAAAATCCCTTTTTCATTCACTTCAAATCATTTTGCCCTTTTTCCATGCCCAATGTTATGAATGCATGCCACATACTTTGACATTACTACGAAAATAAATGAATTTCTACTTAAATATGCTTCCACATAGAAATTTCTAACAAAATAATAAACACCTTGGCATGGAAATTAACATTTAGGCATGCTTTTCATACAATTTAATTACTACACATAATCATATTTTTCATCTACAATATTAATATCATTTCTAAAGCAATCAACTCAAATTAAATATTTCTACCACTTAATTTAACATGCTTCCACATATCCATCTCTAGGAAGATAAAAAATAAAATAAAATAAAAAATAAAATAAAAAAATAAAAAATAAATAAAAACACTTAGGCACCGAAATTAACACATAGGCGTATTTTTCATACAACTCAATTAACACATATAGTCATGGACTTCATGTACAACATTTACATCATTCTTAAGGAAATTAACTCAAAATTAAACATGCTTTGTAACAAATATTAAGGGAAAATTCACAAGGAAACAAGAAAAATATGAATTAGAGACCCTTACCTCAAATTAAGCCAAAAACCCCCAAATGGGTCTCAAAACCGGAATTCTTAGAGTGCACTAAAACCAAAATTGCTTATATGGATGTGAAGATCTCGCCGTGCTCTTCGAATTGCCGCAAACAACTTCCAAAAATTCCAAGTATTGAGAGAGGAATCAAAGCTTAAAGTTCACAACAAAAAGAAAAAGAAAAATTGAAGAACAAGAGAGTGTGAGAGAAGCTTATGGGTGAGAGAAAGATGAGAGACCAATTGTGGTCTCTAGACCATTATTATGGTAGTGGTGGGGTCCACTACTTTAAAATATCTCTTTCTTTCTTTTTTTTTTCTTTTTTTTTTTTCTCTCTTTCCTTTTACACCACAAATCTTACAATCTATCCTCCTTAAAATGATCTTGTCCTCGAAATCTACCCTTCTTATGAAAAAGGCCCATAGCCACATACCTTTTTCCGAGAATACCTCATAAAACCCCAAAGCCATGAACTCGCCAACATTATTGCCCTTGACACCGGATGTCACCAGGAAATCGCACACCGCTGCCACCAAAACCCAATGTGGTCACCCATCTCTCCCTTCGTCATAACACAAGATTAATTAGACCTCACGCCTAACTCAAAATGGAACATCAGTTTACTCTACACAGTCACATAAGGCTCCAAAGCCCAAGAAAAGAACAGTCATCAGACCACCGAATAAGACAACATCCAAACCCAATTCATCCTCAATGGAAACACTAGACTTTAGACAAAAAACCTCGTTCATCTCTCAATCAAGTTTAACTCTATCCTATACATCCTTGTCAGACCAAACACTCACTATCCAATACTTAACTATACCATCACATATCAATACAAGCGACCACCAACGGCAACATTCGGTAATCATTACACTCAACAACCTCAAGATGATTAAACAATGAATTTCCTAACGATTACATAATCATGAGTCACCAAAATAATAAAACGTATTATCCTATACCTAGGTCACAAATCCTCAAAACACAATCTTCAATAGTCAATGGTTGTATCACAACCCCTTTATCGGACACTTGATCCTCCATAACACACCTCGTCACCCGAGACAAATCATCCAAATCCACACTGCCACACCGACACAACGCGTAAAACTATGCTCTCATAGTCACTAACAAGTCAGAACAATCATTGACCTTTAACCTGACATCGTGCTAAAGATAGACTGACTCAGGAGAAATGGTTGGCCAGGCTATTCTTATCATCGATCCAATCTCAACACAGATGTCGTTCCTGTCATCAGGTCTAAACCTCAAACACAACCCCACATCGTTCTCAAAGCAACCACGAAATCCACTCTCTAAACAATCAATTGCTTTACAAAACCTCAACAACTATACAGTTACATACCAGCTCTAAAAATCCCAATCGCACATTAATCACACAACCACTAACAAGCTGGAAACAATACAGCACCAAACGTCACAAACATCAACTAGCAAAAAAGATCTCTAATCTCCTCATAACACCCATACCAGGTAAACGACTTTATATCATCATTCGATTCAATTCTTACCTCTTCAGAACACTCAATACGATCGTCTCATGCCTGAAACCTTAAAACCATAGTCAACCATTCCTATTATTCTTCAATGAAACCCCATAATCACTTTCTAGCTGCATAACACCCAAACAATACTAACATTTGTCCTTAAGATAATAGTCAAATCAAACATCTATAGAAACACCCGAGACATGATTCATATCATATTACCTAACCATCCTTAAATTTACAATTCACGGCACATCCCTAGCCATCACCAGTTGTACCAGACACCGGAAACACAATTCCTATTCGGTATCTCGTGTTGTCAAAACCACTCTCAAAACAGGCATTACAAAAACCAAAGACTACACATCCCTTCGTGGGAGTGAGTCAACCCATACAACCAAACCTTTACCAATGAACGCCAACAGCATAACAACCCACATATTGGTCCGTCAATCCGCGGGTGTACAAAACTTCCAGATGGAGGAAAAGACACAAGACCAGAACAAACGGAAAGGGTAACGGACCCCGCTTTCATAAAAGACTAATAACTTGCACCTGAATGAACCAGACACCCTATCACACACTACTCACCAGTCGTCCAACCATAGATACCCAATCTCACCTGAGATGAAATGAACTTCCTACTCACTAGGAGGAGAACCAATTGGAAACACATACGGGACTACGACCTCAATTCTAGGCGACCTTGCCACTAACGGATCGTCACACACTATCAACATAAAACCTCGCATACGGCACTCTGCAACACCCGTGCTAACCCAAACCAATCAGGTCCACACCACCCCTTCGTTGAGTACTAAGATAGAACTCACAACACAACTATCAGATAAGAGCACCAATGCTCACAACATACCAACACTAAAAAAAATCACAACCTTTCAGACAGCGTGTCCCATTCTGCCTAGAATCAGTCACTCCCAATCGACAACCTCTACGCCATAAAATGATACTTTACCATCCATGTCATTTCTACCTACCCAGGCGACACTGCCTCTATCACCCTGCACACAAGATCCGTGACCTCGGTCACAACAACCCACTGACTCTTCAAAAGAAAAAGATGCCTACCTGGAAAGACCTCGCTCTCTGGTTTTAAAGATTAGGCTAACCAAAATTTCCTCAATTAGTGCACAATCTCATCACTTACCTGACAACATATAATAACACTTACAATCCTAAACCACATTTGGACTATACCTCAAATTGTTCCACTCTTCATCACTAAACATCGCACCATAACACCTTCATTGTCACTCATCCAAATCGATAGCTCAAACCTATCATCCCACCGGACCATCAAGTCACTACCAAGCAATCCTTCTCCCATCATGCTTAAGGTAACACCATCATAGCAAGAAAATAACCATTACTCTCGATACTCCCCATAATGATCACTGCATACTACTAGAAAAGAACCTCAATACTGATAAATCCTTAAAACAAAAATGAGCATAAAACCCAAAATACTCAACACCCAATTGTCACCTCAATACCATCAACGATGACATCAATCATTAATGCTTAACCAATAACATCAAACCACTCTTTCTAATCGATCTACGTATCCAAACAAGGAAACTTCATCCCTAAGTTCAACATCGTTACTTTTCCTCATTCCCGTTCCTTAAAACATCATTGGCCCTGATAAAAATCAAATGGGGCTACCAACTAACTTACAAGATCAACCTCATCCCAATCACTCCAACCATTAGTCTATCTCCTCGAACCCTCAAATAACAAGCACTACCTCCTAATACGCCAAATGCAATATGAAATACAACCTAAATCCAAAGCTTTTAAATTCTAGAACATAATTCATTTGGTAACACAATACTCACCAATTATCACTTCATCCATAAACAACCAAGCACTCCAAGGACCCTATACTACCTGCTTTATCGTGCAACCCTGCACTATACATCTAAAACTGACCATTATACCTCACCTCGAGACCCTTTAGACAGCCTTGCCAACCCAAAACCACGCTCATCGACTGAGCCATACAACCAACTCACCGAGAGTCGATCACCCATAACACACTCCTATAACTATCCTAAATGAGAATCACTCCTTGACAAACCAGTCTCCAAAACAGATTCCTTTAAGACAATAAAATGATCTACATCGGATAACCGGTCCTAAATCACCATAGACCTACAGAATCCAACAAGTTCCTATGACAATCAAAACAACACACTTCTTTAAGCCGTTCCAATATGCTTGAGATACACCTTTACAATCCATAGACTACATTTGTGACTCAATCAACCCTCGTCACACCTACCACGACTGGTTTGAAGAGAACCTCCACACCAAACCAAAACATAAGTTACAAACACCGACCTCTTAAAGTCATACCGAAACCCTCACTCGTACACTTAACCTCCACGGTCACCAGAACCATACACCAATACATAAAACTCACACACAATAAGGGCACCTTACCATGAAATATGAATCCATTCTAAAGTCGTGCTCTACGCACCACACAAAATGCAACTAAGAAGTTCAGGATGACTACATGCCAAATAGCTGAATCCATGAGCTAGAAGCCCATGCCATTAGTTCGACAAGAACCGGCACCCAAACAACCTTGGAGTGACCAAGTTCCTCGCCTACTCAAGTAAAAACTTACACAACCCTCAATGCTGTGACAAGTACCCCACCGTACTAGCAACTATCCCAATGCTTAACCGCATAACCACATAAGAATAAAGCTATATGCATATACAAAATGAATGGAACCCATAATACTATACGAAACACGTTGGCATATACCATACTCATTACTTGTTACATTAGCATTTAAATTCGAACTGCACAAACCATGCTTACCACTTCTCGTCATCATATTCCTCACACAATCAACACACTTTTCTTTTCTTTCACATTTCATTTACACAGTAAGATCATCTAACTATTCCTCGTACATAACCATGTAACACAAATTTTAGCATTTAAACACGTAAGCATTTAGCAATTAGGTATGCCCTCAAAACTGTAAACAAATAAGCATATGATCACGTAAGCAAATAAACATGTAAGCAAGTAAACAAGTAGGCATGCTTCTAAAACATTTAAACACTTTAACACGTAGCACATAATCATGCAATTCAACTTCCCCATGCAATCCCAAGGAGGCCTTTACCCGTCGTCCTAATGTTATTTGATTCATTGCTCTGATACCAAATTTGTCACGACCCTAAACTGAATACCAATTATCAAAAAAATTCAACATGACATCTGTTAAAAAGGGGCCTACAACAACCTGCTTAAATAAAAATAAAATAAAAAATGCAATGGCCTTTCTTGCCCCTTCAAAACTTATTCAACCTGTAAAAAATATATATATAATACATTCCCAAAACAACCATATCAACAATCTCCTCAAGACGGCCCATCATCATCATCATTCCATTCAATACAAAATATTTACGTAGTCTCACTTCCCCTCAAAATACCGACAAGAGTTATAGTTTACAAAACATGACCATGGCTTGCAAAATGTATACACTTCACTATGGTTTTGAGACTTTACAAAAGTTTAGCAAATATACAAAAGATAGCAAAAAATATAATCCTAGTCCTCCTTAAGTTTGTGAAGGGTCTGTGTCTCCTACTTCCTTCCCGAGTCCTGAAAAAATGTTAAATGTAATGGGGTAAGCAAAATGTTTAGTAAGTGGTGCCTAAGACACACCTCTTGTGGCCTCGTGAATCCAAATAATGAATAGGGATAGAGGATAGGGGTCATGCTATGCAGGAAAAGAATACAACATAAATTCCAATTTCAAATAAACAATGTCATGCCATGATATGCAATGTCATGTATGTCGCTCCCTATTTTCAAAACTCAAATTCATCGCTTTTCAAACTATTAATATAACTCGTCCTTTGGTGACTCCGCAGCGACACAAGAGAAGGATTGGTTACTATCCCTGACCCTTGGTACCCCCGCGGTGTCATTTGGGTCCCAGATAGCTAAACCACGCTAGAGTGTTTCCCTAGTTCCCTCTAGGTTATATTAACACCATGGCCCTTTGGTGACTCCGCAGCGACCGGGTTTTTATAAAAATCATATTAATCAAAACTTTGTCCCAAAAATCCCTTTTTCATTCACTTCAAATCATTTTGCCCTTTTTCCATGCCCAATGTTATGAATGCATGTCACATACTTTGACTTGCTATGAAAATAAATGAATTTCTACTACACAATTTAACATGTTTCCACATAGAAAATTTCTAACAAAATAATAAACACCACGGCATGGAAATTAATATTTAGGCATACTTTTCATACAATTTAATTACTACCCATAATCATATTTTTCATCTACAATATTAATATCATTTCTAAAGCAATCACCTCAAATTAAATATTTCTATCACATAATTTAACATGCTTCCACATATCCATCTCTAGGAAAAAAAAAAAAAAAAAAAAAGAAAAGAAGAAGAAGAAGAAAAAAAAGCACTTAGGCATGGAAATTAAAACATAGGCATATTTTTTATACAACTCAATTAACACATATGATTATAGACTTCATGTACAACATTTACATCATTCTTAAGGCAATTAATTCAAAATTAAACATGCTTTGCAACAAATATTAAGGAATAATTCGTAAGGGAACAAGAAAAATATGAATTAGAGACCCCTACCTCAAATTAAGCCAAAAACCTCCAAATGAGTCTCAAAATCGGAATTCCTAGAGTGCCCTAAAACTGAAATTACTTATATGGATGTGAAGATCTGGCCGTGCTCTTTGAATTGCCGCAAACGGTTTCCAAAAATCCCAAGTATTGAGAAAGGAATCAAAGCTTGAAGTTTAACAACAAAAAGAAAAAGAAAAATTGAAGGAAGAATAAGAGAGTGAGAGAGAAGCTTATGGGTGAGAGAGGGATGAGAGACCAATTGTGGTCGTTAGACCACTAATATGGTAGTGGTAGGGTCCAATACTTTAAAATATCTCTTCTTCTTTTATTTATTTTTTCTTTTTTTTTAACACCATAAATATTACAGATTATCTTTGAAAAAGGAAGATCTCACAATTTAAATAATATATACTCCGAATAAGTGATCTCCAAAAATGTCATTGACGATCAAAGCTTTTGTAATGAAGTCATAAAGTGATGTTATGGCGTAAAAACTTAGGATGGACAACAAGAGGTTGGGATTCTTATTTTTATTATAGTAAAACTATGTTAATTGTGTTAAAATGAACAACACGAAGACATAAGATTGTGACACTTTGAATGCATTGAATATGTTAATCGGAAGAAGGTTCTAGGTTCATAGTGACTCCAATCCTATCGCCCTCATGGGGGACAATCATTTTGAAATAGCCAATAATGATGACTAGTCATTGTCAAACTAGGTTCTTTTTTTCTTTTGATCAATGTTTAATAAAATTAAATATTATTTGGTCATATCTAGTTCTTTAAACTTTTGTGATTTATATGCAATCACAAAAAAGATCATTTAATTTTGGTTTTATCTGATCTAAAAATTATCTAGAAAATATTTCCTTTCAATAAGGTAATTCTTTGTACTTCTGTAGTGCGGAAGAAAAATTTATAGTTCATAGGTTCACAAACTGCAATACAAATTACATATGGGATTTGGATCATTTTCATTAGTTAGCTTAATTTTTCTCCAAGCATCTCCAAGCCATCATTCAACGGATATGAACATTATGAAATTTAAAGATGCTTGGAGAGAAAAACTAATGGAAAGGATCCATTTCGGTACGTATGCTATTTTCTTTCTTTTTCCATCAACTTTTGAGCAAAGTTGGAACTAATTTCCATTGCCTCCTAATTTCCTTTCCTCCCCTTTCTTTTCTTATCAAACCAAAGGAATAGAAAAGAAGAATCTCTAAATTTCCTCAATTTTACTCCCTCTCCTGGATTTTCCACTTATCAAATCCTCTACCCTCAACCAATTCAACTACCACTACTACAAGTAACAACTGCAACTACTTTCTTAAACTTGTAACATTTGTATAAACATGCAATTCAAATGATAGATATTGATGGCAAGACAAAGAATTACTATATTTTTTTTCATCACAATAAATGCCTCATGACAATGGATTTCACACAAGCTCTTATACCAAACTATATGTTTCAGATCAACCGCCACACTATAACAAACTATGTTTCAGATCAAGCACAATACTATAGCAAACTATGTTTCAGAACAACCGCGATACTATGTTCCTTTCATGCATTGAATCACAGAGCTTAAAATATTTTGAATTGCATCAGTATCATCACCAAAGGCTTTGGAAGAATTGACAAATTTCTTGTACATAAAGGCCTCGTAGAGTGGGGGATTCATTGCGTTAACCAAACTTTTCGCAGGTTCTACAATGCAGTTGGAAGTAGGATTGATGAAAGTGGCAATGCTTGTCCTAGCTTCACTTGAGTTTGTAACTACACGATGTTCAGCGCTCTTTAGCTTCCCATTACTGATTATCTGCACATAAAAATGTTTTCATAGCACATTGCGAGAAATAAAAAAGAATGAGCTGCAAAAAGGTAAATTTATTGGTTTGTAACTAGTTTTAGCACTAAGGGTTGGAGATATACCTGTAACTGGTTGCCTATGTTGACAGCAAACGCATTGGGAAGAGCCTCAATACCAATCCATTGCTCATCTTTGAACACTTGAAGCCCACACACATCCCCTTGATAGAGAATGGTAATGAGGCTAGGGTCAAAGTGTCTCAGTATACCCAATGTTAGACTTGGATCAGGGCACGGTGGATAGTGATTAGCCGACAACAGTTGAATTTCGCTTGATTCTTTGAAGTACCCTGATTCGAGTCCCAATCCTTCAGAAATAAGCTCCAAGATCCTCAAGCTCAACTTCCTTACTTCTAGCACATATGTCCCAACAACCTCCCTGAAATATTTATTTATTTTTTTTGCCCAATTCATCATTTAGTTCTGGTAGTTCTGATTAGATAAAACTGGCTTATGATGGTAGAGACTGCAGGATCAAAAGAATAAATATAGGTGGACATACAAGTTTGAAGATCTTACATGTATCTAGTTGGCTTTTCCGGCCAAAATTGCATGCATTCCTCCAATGGATGACAAGGGATTTTCAAATTTTCCCTCCACAAATGAACACCTTCTTTTGCATAGCTGATGCTGTTCGTGTAAACCCAGCCGCCTTTGTTGGGGCCATTTGCCTTGTCCTCAGCAGCCATGTTAAAGAACTCCTTGAAGATTTTCATTGCATCAAGTAACAAATTTTCCGAGACTCCATGGTTGATCACCTGCTCACAACATTGGAATGTTAGTACTTCATTAAGTTCTCAGCAGTTGAACTGATCTAAGGCAAAAGATAAACATTTTATACCTGGAAGAATCCAAATTTTTGGCTGGCTTCCAAAATCTGCTGGCTTATATTACTTCGATCCGTACCCTCTAGTTTTCCAAGGTCAATGATTGGAATGGTTTTGCAGAGAGGAAATATATGCTTGCCAGGTCTTCTTTCTGGTGGGAATATGTAGCTCTCTGGCACAGATTGAACATCAAACCAGCTTGAAGCAAGCTTCTCCATTGTCTCAATGCAAGTCTTCTCAGCCAAATATGGGCATATGGGCACTAAAGAACATGTCAACAACTATGAGTCCTTAGAATTACCTGCACGCAACCTTGCCCCTTATGTTTAGTCAACTACAACATTTTTTTATATATGTTTTTAATCTTAAAAAATTGTATTTTCAAAGCTTAATTTTGTATTTTATTACCAAGTTCTGCAACTTGAAATACAGGGCTTCCAACTTCAAATATACTAGTACAGTACTATTACCCACAGAATTGGTACACCAGCAGTTTCTGGTTGGATTCCAACTTTAAAGTCAGAGGTTCTTCAAGCAAACAACCTTGTTGCTCTATCCTATGAATATTAAAATCATAATGTTCTTATATGATTACCAAAAAAAAAATATAGTAATGATGAAGACGAGGATGAAAACAATAATTCCATCTTAAAAATATTTATGTAGTGATGTTCTTGTCCCTACCATATAATATATATTTATATATAATGATTATGATGACGATGATGTGTTACTAACAATTGGTATTTCCAGGATTGTATCAAGTCCCACCTTCCCTCAATCCTGTATGCGTAATGCAAGGCGAATCTAACACCGGATAATAAGATTTTATTATAAAAGAATATGAATATGATACACTCTTGCTGACAATTGTGAGAAAATGGCCAATAACAGAAAATCTAATGGTTGAATTAGCTATTAACAAAATAAAGACTCAGAATATATTACAAGTCATACGCTCAAGAATATCCTTTTTTTTTTTTCCTCCTTTTTATTACCTTTAAGCCGAGTGGGCATCAATTTGATTAATATGTATGTATACTTTGCAAGAGTCAACGTTTAAATCTTCTAAGAAGAACTTTGGTTTCAGTGAACAAGAAAAAAATGTGGGTAACAATGGCTGATGGTTCCTAGAATTGCATATAAGATATTCCCTCACATCAGCCAAGAACATCTCCAACAATATTATATTATGTAGAATAAAAATTTAATATGTATATTTTGCAAAGCTTGCACTTTAACCTTTCTTGTGAACTAAGACAGAAAATAAAATAAACAAAAAATGTGAACTTGACTGTGTAGTTTGTATAAACAAAATGAATAAATCAATCATCTGGCAGCCACGGATATAAAATGACCATTCTGTCTGACAATTCAAGGTGATAAACAAACAAGTGAATTTATCAAGGTTCATAGCAGGACAAGGTAATTAAAATTTTAATCAGTGTTGTTAGATTGCATTTTCAAACCACTTATAATAAATTAGGAACATAATCACAATAGTTAATCTAATTGTTGATCATGTGCATCACTGAAAGAACAAATTCCACTTATTTGTTTATTCATTTGGTGGACAAACAATATTGACCTGAAAAATATGAGTTACACTATTTAAATATACTATGTCCACTTAATGGTTTTGAGTTACACTAGCAAGAGAGGACCTAAACCCTGCAATATTCATATAGAACCGTAGAAGACAATAAATTGAAAATCACAGAAAAGAAGAAAATTGCTGTGTTATATCCAAATAGAAAATCATACAAACTTTCTATTAGAATCCACACTGACTGGCTTGGCTGAAGCACTCTTGATGAAATTCCAAAACATGTAGAATGAGCTTACTATAAGCCCTTAGTACAAAACAGTGACATTTTACTTATTCAAATACATCACATTGCAGGAAAAAAAAATAAAAGAACATCATATTGCAAATGGCCTGGTAAAATGAACATGTGGTTGACATATCACACGCTAGCATTTTTCTTCTGCACACCATTTCTTTAAACATGGAGCTTATAAGGCTCCAATGCAGTTTTTGTGTCACCACCGGAGGCTGAATAGGTCTGCAAAAACTCTCTATACTGGAAGGCTCTATAGAGTGGGGGATTGCATTCACTGACCAAGTCTTCTGCTGATTCTATGACACTGTCAAAAGAAGGATTGATCAAGGTGACAATGGTAGTCCGAGCTTCTTTTGAATTAGTCACTGCTCGATGTTCAGCACTTTTAAGCTTCCCATTACTAATAATCTACACCAAATAAGAATAAATAAAATTATTTGAATTAGCTCTAAGCTTCACAACGATTGCAAAGGTATGTATTGAAAACAACGACAGTGTGGTATATATTAAATCCCTTTTTTGATTTTTAATTGAGTCAAATATCTTGTCAGTTTGGAAACTCCTGTCATCAAAGTAGAAATAATTTAGGAACCATTGAGCACCATGGGATAAATTAGTAAAATTTAATTTCAGACTGATTATGAATGTATTTTAGGACTTCTTTCACCCACTAAAAATACAATATCCTTCCTGTAATCAGAATAATTGAGAAGTAATGCGACTTTTACCAACGGTTGAGATCGCAGACGTAATTGAGAATAGCTATTGAATGCATCTTGTTGCAAGAAATGCATGCATATTTTGTGTCCTGTCTTAATAACAAGGTTATCAAATTCCTCTGTCTGAAAACCATATTGAGCCATCTTACAACTTAACAATACTAGCAAAATGTACCAAAAGAAAAAAAATACCTGTAATTGGTGACCTATGTTAACCACAAATGCATTGGGTAGAGGTTCAATACCAATCCATTGGACATCCTTGAAGACTTGAAGCCCATATACATCTCCTTGAAGTAGAATGGTTATGAGGTTAGGATCACAATGTTTAGGTAACCCTAGAGTTAAGCTTGGGTCAGGGCATGGTGGGTAGTGATTAACTGTCAGTAACTGAAATTTGGTCAGTTCGTCCCCAAAGTACCCCGGTTGAAGTCCTAATCCTTCACAAATCAGCCGCAAAATCCTCAATGACAACTCCCTTACTTCCACTGAATATTTCCCAACCACCTCTCTGCAAAGGAAACATAATATTATTTAGTTTTTCTATTATACGATTTACTAGGCAATCAAATTTATGTGATCATACGAGTTCTGGCTTAAATGGTGTTCTGTTCATTTGAGTTGTACAGGTTTTGGATTATACCGATATCTAGTTGGCTTTTGAGGCCACAATTGCATGCATTCCTCCAAAGGATGACAAGGGTGTCTCAAGTTATCTCTCCAATATTGAACCTTTATCTTGGCGTCGTTAAAACTGCTCGTGTAAAGCCTGCAACCCTTACTGGAGTCCTCAGAGTAAAAAATTGCCTTGTCCTCATCTGGCATATTGAAGAAGTCCTTGAATAAACTCCTTGTATCTTCCATTAGATTTTCTGAAACTCCATGGTTGATCACCTGTTTTACATTGCGGTATATGGTATGTCATCTCAGAAAATCCAAGATACTAGCAGAAAGTTTAGTATAGTTGATTATTTTTATAAAAAAAAAATCATTCAGTAAGATTGGATGTGGCCAAAATTAAGAAGGAAACAAATGTATAAACCTGAAAGAATCCGAACTCCTGGCTGGCATCCAAAATCTGTTGAACTATATTGCTTTGATCATGCCCCACTGCCTTTCCGAGATCAATCACAGGAATGGTCTTGCATAGAGGAACAATGAGTTTCCCGGGTCTTTGGTCTGGTGGAAGCACATACGATTCAGGCAAGGATTGAACAGTACTATACCAATTTGAAACAAGTTTCTCCATAGTCCTCTAGTGACTTCTTCTTTTTTTTGGTAATACTGTAGTGATTCTTCTAAACCAAATGTGGATTTATATAGTATGGTAATCAGAGAAAATGAGTACAAGAAAAAGCTTTGGAATTGTGTCCTAGGTTTGACATCATAGTCAAGCCAACCACATAGTACAACAATAGGTATAATACGGTACGAAGACTAACATATATTACTTGTCTTAAGCTTGTTGTTCTATCATTCATGTTGAGTGTGCGCAGTGGAATGGTTGTGGAATATAATATAGATAGATAATATAGAGTGATGGTAAACAGATTTAACTTGCTCTTTTATCCAATTTTTACTTATTTTAATTTTTCCGAAATAAAATTAAAACCAAACCACAAAGCAAAAATAAAGTGTAAATAAAGTAAATAGAGTTTGAGAGATGACACCAATATTTTATTAAGGAAACCCCAATTGGTAGAATAAACCAATTGTAATAAGAAAAACTTCGTTGGACTCTCCAGTCCTGAGATAAACAATTCACTATGTTTGAAGCAAAGTATACTGAACTTTGACCCAGTCTCACACCCTATCGTTCTACCAAAAATCAATTGTTGACAATCCCTGACTTTGTGTGTAACGACTCGAACCCATGGGTCCGGATCTATAACGAACCTAACTGATGCCAAAATTTTAAAAAATTCGGTAGAACCTCCCCTAAAAATGGGCTTTCAACAACCTGTCCCAATACACAAAACACATAAAATCATCCAGCATCCCATTCATCCGTTCATTATACCTCAACATAGTTCCTCTCATGGTGGAATATTCACACACCAATTAATCTAAATTAACATAATTACAGTCCCAAAATACATGGTTAAGATTTAAAGCCCCTGTCTTACAACGTTACATGATACAATTGTATGGAAACATATACCATAATTCCATTAGTTTCATTTACATCAAACAAAAGATAAGTTTGTTCTTAAGTTACAAAGCCATGAATACTAACTTAGTTACATCCCCACAACTATGAATATACATAAAACGGTCAAAATACAAAATAGCAAACAACCTTCTAACAACTTTCAAGCTTGAGGTGGATTGTCGTCCACCGGTTCATTTCCAAGACCTGAAAAAAATAATATAAATAGTAGGGTGAGCATAAAGCTCAATAGGTGACACTTAAGACACAATTCTTGTGTCATTGTGAATCCAAACAAAGCATAAACCAATGGGAAATAGGGATCATGCAATATAGGGAATTAAAACAATATGCACGTCAATTCTAATTATAAACCATGCAGTGCAATGAAATGCAATGCATGCTAATGTCACTCCCCATTTTCATTCACAAAACCATCACTTTTAAATGTTAATACAGCCCGCCCTTTGGTAACCCTGCCGCGACACGAGAGGAGGATTGGCTATCGTCCCTAGACCTTTGGTAACCCCGCAGCGTCATCGAGGGGCCCGAATAGCTCAACCACGCTAGGGCGACTCCC